GGATCTACTAAATACTGAGTTCATTTCTCGTAGCGGTGACCAAATGTATGCACCTGCCTAATTTAGTTTAACACTCCCACTGTCTTTATGGGTGACCCCGCGAGGAAAGTTGACCATTGAGCAGGATTGATGGTTCATCCCTTGAGGTCCACGTGGCAGGGGCGAGGTGGTGCTCACTCCTCACCCCTGCCAGTAGGAGGGTTAAACAATTATTGCACACTTTCTGTAAATCCCATAAACTTAATTTCACTTCTCACATGTCACTGTGTTTGTCTCCTTAATGATATATTTAACTGAAGTTTTTTATCATAACACCCAACAACAGGAAAATCATGAAGATTAACAAGGCTGCCCAAACCTTTGCATTCCACTGTAACTTTTACCCTTCATAGACCTCATAACGGATGAATTGTTCCTTTGATGTTATTAAAAGAATTGTAAACAAGAAAATGAGAAGTTCCTGTTAAAGGTACAGCAGTAGCCATAAACGTGAAGTGTAAAGCTTACCTGTGACGTTGATCCAATCTGAACGCTCACACCACACTTGGCGAGATGAGCCTCTCCACGGTCCAGTCCTCCACTTATATTCAAAACACTGACCACCTTCATGAGAAACAGTGAGTGGTACATTTTATTAGTTTTATAAATTATATAAAATGAACATTAATATAAGGATTAGTGGAAGTGACAATATTCAGTTGGTCCTGTTTTTATTTTAGATATTTCACAGATCATACTCTGCAGGGTACAATATTTTATGTTTATGTCACAGAGTGGTAATGTTGCACTTATGTTATATTTTATATTGCATGTTTTACTTGTTTTTATTCTGATGTGCATGTTTTTATTGATGGTGTGTTTTTAGTTTGTTTGGTGCAACATTGTGTGTTCATTCTGTGTAATCTCCCCGCTCATCTACACCTGTGGCAGTGTTGCCTGGACTGCCAACAGACACAGGCAGGTCAGTTTTGATTTAACCCTTTGGTGCATAATGGTCACTACAGTGGACAGGAACTCAAAATTGTTATTTATTTGTTTTTTCTATTAAGCACAGCTGTTGAAGACTTTATTGCATTTGAGCCCCTCCATTTGGAGTTCAGTAAGACAAGCCAACATATTTCATATTCAGAATGCACGTTGTCCACTGAGGTGGACACGTGATAAATTATTTGTAAATTATAAAATTTTACAAAAAATATTTGTTGAAATTTGTTTCATTCACACCTAAAGACAAATGAAAAAAATTGTTAAAAAAACCATGGTTGACGATTTCATAATTCATGCATCAAAGGGTTAAAGGGAGGAACGCGTGGACCAGGGAGAGAGAGAGCCAGGACGACAGACAGAGCGAGCTACTCTGCCCCTGCACGTAAGTAATTGAGCAGTGTTTGGAGTTTGCTGTCTCTCTGTGCGTGGTCTGGTGTCGGGGACCTTTTACTGCCGGAGGTTTTGTGTGCCACAGGGGCCGGGCCGAGGAGAAGGATTGGATCCACCGGCCGGCCGTCCAGCCTGTGGTTCCCTGAGGACGACGCGCACATCAGGAGGGCGGGGTCGTAAAGGCTTCCCCGTCGAGCTCACGCAGGGCCGGACTGGACTGCTTTGTCCCCTGAGGCCCAGCCAGGGGCGCCGTAAAGCGGTGAAAGATTAGGAAGATTCTAGGGGCCCACAGCTGTCAGGGGCCCAAAAATGTTTCAAAGTTGAATAAAAAAAATGAAGTTTAAAAATCACAAGTACTTTACTTTGCAGTATTTTTTCTCATTTAAGACATTAAACAAACAACATTTTAGTCTTTATGAAATGTATATTTATTCAGAGGTCCCTACTTTATTTTGACTAATTAAGCAGTGAATCCTTAATTTTTGTCAGTCATACAGAAATACTTGATTTCAAGAGGAAAGACAGCTGAAAATGTAGTTATGTAAAGCTTTGACACAACATGGAAATTTAATTAGATATCCAAATTTGAATTTTATCATCAAATAACATTTTAGAATAAATAAACACATTTTAAGGGAGTAATAGGGAAAAGGAGATTAACACCTTTCAGCATGTGTATTTCCTGCCTTTTCCAGCAGTGATATTGCTAATTCTGTTGAAGGAAATTCACTGTTTAATGAGAGACAGCTGGTGAAAATGATATGTAAATAAGTAAGAATGCACGTAGACCTACATAATTAAGCAAAACTGAAACACTAATATAAAGTATATACATTATATTTTTTTCTCCCTTCGAATCTGGGAGGGTGGAACCCCAGCTCCAGCTATGGACGAGCCCCCAGGGGGCCCAACTTGATATTTTTTCATGGGGCCCAAAATCTCTGGCAGCCCTCCTGGGCCCAGCACAGACTTATTTAGGAGTTTCATTTTGGGCATCATCATCCGTGAACTTTTGGAATAAATTCCTTTTTTTTAAATTTGCTTTTGTGGTTGCACTGCTTGCCTTGCTTTTAGAACCTATTTTTAGTCTTCTTTTAATATTAGTGGCACCATCCGTCCACCTCGATCGTGTCACATTTATGTTTATGTATTTAGTAGATGCTTTTGTTCAAAACAACTTACAAGTGATAATCGGTATGTTGCCCTTGATGCTAACAACAATAACAATAACAACAAGAACAACAAACAACTTCCAGTCAGTCGTAGGTGGCAGTGAGGCAGCATGATGAATCGTGGAGAGGAGGAGTGGACAGTAGAGAGGGGGGAGGGTGCTAGTTTAGAAGATGCTCTCTGAAGAGCAGGGTCTTCAGGAGTTTCTTGAAAGTCGAAAAGGAAGCCCCTGTTCTTGTAGTGCTTGGTAGGTCCTTCCAAGCATATTTTGTGTTATTGTTGTTTGTGTTATTGTGTTATTATTGTAGTAGTAGTTATAGCTGCCCTGTTATAACTCTTCTAACATCCCGTAGTGATCATAAAAGTACTAGTAGATAAGTGAACTCGGCTCCCTCTGGATCAGCTGTATTTTAAGTCTTAAACTCTGAACTACACCAAATGAATACTTGACTTTTTCTAGTATGTTTTATTCTACTCCTCCTATACCTGTTTATTTTGATTATTTATTAACATTAAAACTTAATCTTTTCTTCAGTAGAAATGACTAAAGTCACCTCCCTGTTTAACCCCTTAAAGTCAAAAACAGCAATAATAATCTGACTATTTTATGGTGTTTGGACTGTTTCCTGGGGAATGTTATTTAAATTAGATCACTTAGATCACTATCATTTTTATTATATAATTATAATAATGATGATAAAAACAAATAAAATAGCTGTTGCCAGTATTCACATAGGCATAGACACATGTTTCTGAGGATCTCACCAACCTGGATCAGAGATCACTCATCTGATACTTGGATTTTAGGAGGGCGACTGAAGTTCTTATGGTTAAATAAAGTTGATGACAAATCCAAACAGGAAAACCCTGAAGGTTCTTGATTCTGAGTTATAATCAGGTTCTGGGTGTGAGACCCCACAAAACTGACCTGTACAAGGACGTGCTTCCAGCTCTTGTTCTGGACACTGCAGCAGGTTTTCTGGATCCTGCGCCACCACTGCTCTGGAGCGGACCTGGACTGAGCCGAAGCCCAAGTCGTCCCCACTAACACAGCTTAGCTGGCATGGACTCCAAACGGTCCAGTCTGTCAAGTAGCATTCTCCTACAAGACACAAGGAAAGGATAGCAGAACGGTATGCAACGGCATCAATGTTGTGCTGGGTTCTGATCTGAAGTCATCATAGTGCCATCAACCATCTGACACTGCAGGCGTGCTTCTCACAGGTTAAAACGGAAAGGACTGGTGGCCGAGCTTCCAGTTTCCAGGCTCCTCACTGGTAGAACACATCACCTCATAATATGTTTGTGTCGGGTACGGATTGCTCTACTTTGTGCTGCATATAGATCACCCCATGCTACTTTTGTGTTGGATACAACTCACATTGCACCACTTTTGGAGCCCTGGGGGCAGCGCCGCTATGACAGGCCTACAGTAGTGAAACCATGCTGAGTAGTGGAAAAGGGTCAGTAGTGTTGTTAGCCTTTCTATGATCACTGACCGCCTCTATCCACCGATTGTATGGAGTTTGTGCTTCTGCACTCATTCTCAGCAGTATTACTACGACATTATCTGTATCTTTTGTATCGCCATGTTCATGATTACCTCCACCCTCCAGCTCTGAACTGGTACCAGTGTTACTCATCAGACTGGATTTGGATCTGGTTGGATCTAAGCTAATGAGGTTGTTTAAAAGGATTTGACTGGACTCTCAGCAGCCATCAGTGTCTCCGTGAAAGCTCCTTACGCCAATCTGCATTCAGGTGGCGTGATGTGCTACACCTGTTTACTTGTTACCTGTGTTTACCTGATTAACCCTTATTTAACCTTAGTGCATTTTTTTGTGCTCAAAGGACATTAACGTTAGAAAATTAAAGGGTTATAAGGGTTAAGTGTTCTGGCAGGTAAATACACTAAACACTTTGACCTCTACTGGTTCTGCGCAAACTCAGACTAACAGAGCTCCATTTGCTACTTGTGTGTTTTAAAAGTTTTAAAGCAACACTGAGGAGATTTTAGGATTTGAAACTGTTGCTTTCAATCTGGTTCCAGTGGTTGTTGAGCCAGAAACTTGAGTGACCTCACATTGGACAGTACTCTGTCACCCTCTGCTGACCAGAAACTGCACTTTTACTACAGTTTTATGGTTCAGTTGGGAACACTAGCGAGAGGTCTCTTCCTGCTTTACAGTAATAGCTGTTTACTGTGTCGGTAGGCTAGCCGTTAGCTTATTCAGTTTGCCCATAGTCAATAAAAAGCACAAGAAGAAGAATAATTTAGATTTTTCTGATGACATCATGGCAGAACCTGGAAATAAAAGTAAAAGAATAATGTCTTTGGAGGTGAAGCAACAAGCTAAAACCAGAGTAAACATCGACCTACACCTACACCCTTCTGAAAGATCTGAAGAGGCTACGAAATCATAGACTGATGGTGACCTGGCTTTGTTGCAGGGCCAGCATCAGGATATTTTACCTTCAGTTGCTTTACAGTTGCTTAGTGAGTATAAGGGTCTGTTCTCCTTCGGCACAAACCAAATTGCAGTGGTCGTTTCAAGAGATGGGGTTGCTAAGCCATTGCTTGGCTGAATCAGGCCGTTGCTTTTGCACCCCCAACCTACTGCCTGGTGCCACCCATGCTTTGTTGCTACTGGACTTGTAAATAATTATTTTTTTGTCCAACACTGTGGATCTTTTTTCTTTGAAGCTTATTTCATCAGTTGGTTCGTGTTAGCCTTAGCTTGTTGTTAGCACTAGCTACAGCAGGCTGTAGCAGGGTTGTTTACGGCAGTTGTATTTCTGCTTTCAACCAGACCTCATAGTTATTCATTTTGATCCACAAACATGACCAACAATCTAAGGTCCAGGAAGTTTCCTGGAATTGTTTCATGATCCACAAATTTCTGAATTTAGCCTTCTGACCCAGCACACAATCATGCTGTAGAAGATATTGTTCATCACCAAGCTTCTGTTGTATAGTTGAAGGAGTTCCCCAGGGAGGATATTTAGGGATCTCCAATTTGTGTTTCAGTATGACTGACCCACCTGGACAGGGTACGGTGCACGCCTCCTGAAGAACTATTAGTCTATCTCCTTCCACCGAGAGCTCCAGGTCTCCACAAAGCTCTTCGTTCACCATGCTGCTGTCTTGTATCTCTGACCCATCTGACACGAAGCAGGACATGTTCCTGAAGCGCAGACCCTCCCCGCACCTTGCCCCCTGGTGGTGGGGGACAAAATACCTTAATGAACACCAACTGGTCATGAGCGAGTCTGATGGTTTTTGTTATAACCAGTTTATGTTTTAGCTGCGATACATGAAAAATTAGCTGTTGGGAGCGTGTGAAGTAAACAACAAGATAAAGAATCTTCAGCATAAAAACTGTTCATTCATTTGGGTTGTATTGATCTCTTGTGTAAGGTTTTGTTATTAGACAGTTTTCACACAAAACAAATAGATTTCACAACATCTGACAGGCGTCAACAGTTTTCCTGACATGCCTGACCTGTTTTGTAGGATCAATGGTCCAACAGGCTAGAATGGCCAGCCACGCCAGTGCTTCCTTATGGGAAGCAAAGGGACTGGAAACACTTCCATTCAAATAACCCCACCCACTGAGAATTCTAACCGAGCCAATCAGCCCTGAGCAGCGTACGTCACACACCGCAGCACTCAGTTTCTCAAAAACAACAAAGACAAAGTCTGAAGCAGAGTTCGCTGTGGCTCTTGGACATGTCTTCAAAACCACAACAAAGAAGAGCTGCTAAAAGCCTTTATTCTGAAGAAAGATGCTTGCGCCGTCGCCAGACGGCATGTTTGACTACAGCTAAAGAACAACAATGTCCGCGATACACTCGTCATTCCCGCCTTTTTCCTGATTGGTTATGTTTGAGCTGGTTCGTCCCGCCCCTCATGGTGCTTTCTGCCAACGAGTATCCAGACACATCCTGGAAGGCTAGGCTACCAACAGGCAGCTCCCCTTCCTCTGTTTCTTCTCATGAGACACAAGTGTTACAGATTATCAGGAGACAGAAATACTTCACATTAAATGTGTGTCACAACCATCCCAGCACATTTTGAAGCAGCCATTTTTGTTTGTGAGGGCTTTGAGAACTAAACAGACGTGTAAAAGCCTAAATAGAGCAGGCTAATGACAGATGGACAAATATCCAAACCAGATTCACTCCTCTGACAGAACCTCTGAGATTTGGGCTAAGTGAATCTAAACAGAAATATGATTGAGGAACATCTCACCTCTGACTTGCACTCAGACCAGGAACTGTATCTCCAGCTGTAGCACGGTTTCACCAGACAAGGCTTCCACTGCTTCATCTGAGAAGGGCATGGTCTGCCATCACCCTGGGGAGCTTGGATCACCGTTCGTGTCCGCCACAGTTTACCTAGAGAAGAGAAGAACATTTTAGGATTTTTACATTAGGTCATAGAAACATCTGGAAAGCTGCAGCGTGTAGAAGCTTTGCTTCCATTAGAGTGGGCTCAAAAATACAAGAATAGGGATCAGAATGATGAACTGTAAAAGTCTCTAAGAACACAAAATAACCCAGAGGGAAACTGCAGTTTTAGTTTGCGTTTAGCACACCCTAGTGACCGTTTTAATTCACTGTCATAAAAACGTAACTGATACTCTCCTCCTCGCTGTGCGTTTGTGTTTTTAATACCTTAATCTAATGCTGAAATGTCTCCTCAGCCTTCATGAGTTTCTACAGGAGCAGTTCATCATTAAATCAAACAAATCATCTGTGCTCATGATCTAAAACATGCAGGAAACATGTCTCTGAACTCTCCCCATTCAGAAATCCCTCAATGTTTACTCTTGTTTGACAACCATTGTGGTTGGACATCCATTTAATTTTTGTAGCTTCTTCAAATAAACATTTTCTTAGTCTCTTCTGAGGCTCCACCATGATGCATGTGACAATACATGCTAACCAGGCATAGCTTGTCTGTTCTAAGGTATAAACATGGATTGCCGTAAAGCTTCTTGTGAGACTTCAGGACGGCGGTCCGGAGAGGCTGAAGCTGCAAACAGGGTATCCTGCTCACAAAGGGCAGAGAGACTGTTAATGCACCTTGTAAGGAACATTTTAAAGTTAAAGTCCCATTAGTCATGACACATTGGTGAAATGACAACTCAGCATTTGACCCATCACCGTGGGGAGCGGGGAGCTGCTAGCCTGGCAAGCCAGACTAAATAAATGTACTTTGCAAAGCAAGAATTTGGTCTAGTTCACCAGGCTAGGGAGCTGCAGCTGTGGCCTTGCTCAGGAAGTATTTGGTAGTTTAGCCCCCCAATCCAACTCCTTAAAGCTACAGACACTCTACCACCTGGCCACTGAGAGGGTTTTAGTGCTTACTGGTTCAAGAAATTTATTTAAAAATTTGAAAAGGTTGCTTAGTAAGACTTTAACCTCATCTGCTTTTCGGGTGCTACCCCACAATATGAATGCCATGCTACCTGAAGACCCACAGCCTGTCTTGTCCCTATTTAAATAAGCACACTAAGGTTTGTAATGCATCTTTTTATTGCATTAGGACTTTGATTTCTAATCTAATATTAGAGATGATGAGGCTCCAAGCTGTTGGACAGGTTGAGCTGATGTCTTGAGTAGAAGACAGCGATCAACTCTTGACTATTGCAACTCACTGTACCTTGGTGTGCCCTGGTCTCACCTCTCCTAGTTACAAAACGAAAGTTTCATGTTTCTGAATGAATGTTTGATTTTACAAAATAAAAAATACATGTACAAAATACAATGTTCCTGTTAAAAAACGAGAATACAAGTTACGAATCAAAAGTTACAAGTTACGAATCAAAAGTTACATGTGATGAAACATGTTCGATGTTACAAAACTTGGTACAAGTTACGCTGAATATTGTCCCAATCCTAGTTCCATACAATTGGTGCAGAAGGCAACAGCAAGTTTATTATCTGGTTCAAGGGAGAGGGTTCCCATCTCTCCGATTTTGGTTTTGCTGCATTGGCTGCCTGTTGGCTTTAGGGTTCCCACATAAGGTGCTTTCATTATTCTTTTCTGTACGACCTTGCCCCACAGTACCTTCCTGAGCTTTTTATTGCTCAGTCTCCATCTTGGTTCCTGAGGTCAGCTGATCCAACTGTTCCTGGAGGTGCCGAGAATGAAGCAAATGCTCAGAGGTGGCAGAGCTTTCTGCGTAGCAGTCCCAAACTTGTGCAACATTCTGCTAATTCTGATTAGGATGGCTTCCTCATTTTCAGGTTTTATTAAGCTTTTAGAAACTAATCTGTTTTCAGTCCCTTTTAGTTCGGTGTGAAAGTGTTTAGTTCTGGCTTTTATGGGTGGATGGCTGTGCTGTAAAGCACCTTGGGGGGCTGTGAAAACCAATAAGGTGCTATATCAATACAGGCCATTTTTTACCACTTTATGTTATAATTATTATATTTTGAGGCTTTTTATTGTGATGTCATTTTAAGCATTGCGGTGCATTCTTCTTGTTTTTAGTGTATTGTGTTGAGCATTCTGGTCAGCTTCAGTGTGCTACATAAATAACGTTGACTTGACTTAACTGTCAACCCCAGTTAGCCCCATGTAGTCCCAGGGAGGTACTGGTTTTGCTGGGTCTCTGTGGACACGTACCTGCCAGGCCACAGGTGTGAGTGCACTCAGACCACGACGACCACTCAGATAGCTGACAGTTGACGGGACATTCAACGACACAGGAAGCATTCATCTGCCACTTCCTCTCCAGACCCAGCTGCAACAGAACATGACTGGGCTTGTTAACTGGTCCCAAATGAACACAATCAGATCTGAAACAGTCGTCTCACCTCTTTACAGAAGCTGAGGTCGACAGATTTTCCGTCACTTCTCACACAGTCAAGCATGCGGGTTTTGATGCCATTTCCACACGTTGCCCGGTCGCTCAACTGACAGGTGCTCCAGTCTGCAGGAACAGGTTTGGTTATCAGCTCACCTGGTTCTGTTGGCAGAAGTAACCTGTCTGGTACTGACCTGTGATGTTGTAGGAGTAGTGGAAGCAGTTGCTGTTGAGTTTGCAGGATTCTGTCTCGGTTGTTGGAGGACACGTCTTGTCCTTTCCCGGTTTGCGAATCAGGTAAGCCACCCGCTCACGGGTCTGGTTCTGAGTGCATGGCTGGAGTTAAAGTTAAACCCCATTAGTCGTGTAGGGGAGCGGTGAGCTGCAGACACAGTCGCACTCTGGAACAATTTGGTTTAACCCCTCAATCAAACTCCTTAATACTGATATAAATGAAGAGGCACTGTTTCCCATTTTTAAAGTCTTTGGTATGACCCGACCATGGATTTGAACCTATGATCTCCCAGTAGCTGGGCAGAAACTCATACCACTAGCCACTGAGCTGAGCATAGAATGGTCTGGATTTAATATTCATCTGTACTTTTGTTTAATGCATTTTACAGATTAAATGTTTATTTACAATAAAGCAATAGTTGTTTCAGCAAAGTTCTGGAATCAGTTTTTCTCTCCGGGTCCTTTCCTGAGTCCCTCAGTTAGGTCTCCAGCCTGCTAACTGTTGTAACTCAGCTCCTAATAATGACAGGAGCTTTTTTTCTGCTCTGTTCCTTCTGGATCACTCCTGGACAGGTAAGGCTGCTGTCCCATCCGCAGTAAACTGGAGAAAACCCGGGTGTGAATCAGCACATCTGCTGCTGGATCAGAGTCTTAAGGTGGTCTACAGGGGACATGTCCTCTTTGACATTAACCACTGGAGTCCCACATGGCTGTGTGCTAGGCCCTATTTCTACACTCATTAAACACTCACTGACTAATTTAAATCAGACCATTTACAGGAAACTGAAGTTACATTTTGTTACAAAGCTAATGATAAATGACCCGCACTTGTATAGCGCCTCTCAGAGTAAGGACTCCAAAGCGCTTTACACTGCAATGAATCATTCATCCATTCACACACTGATGGTGATGAGCTACGATGTAGCCTCAGCTGCCTTGGGGCGCACTGACAGAGGTGAGGCTGCCGAGCCCAGGCGCCACCGGTCCCTCCGACCACCACCAGCAGGGAAGGTGGGTTAAGTGTCTTGCCCAAGGACACAACAGCAGAAGTCTCTGTCCGGAGCCGGGATCGAACCTGCAACCTTCCGATTACTTAACAACCCGCTTAACCTGTTGAGCTACTGCTGCCCCAATAAACAATAAAATATAGCAAAGAAAACAAAACAAACAAATAAACCTACCTGTCTCAAATGCAAATTGTTGTGTAGAAACTCTAATGAAGTGTCTACTGTGAGGGCAGATTTCATACATTGAACTGTTTTCCCTTATGGCCTAATTTACAAATATGGAATCAAGACCATTCATGGATTTAAAGGTTTGGGTTTTACTATGGCCAAAAATGTTGCTCTGGTTTATGATGGCTTAGCATGGCATGTAGAAGCCATGATCCATCAGATAGATGAGGTTACAAGTTTGTTTACCCCACCTCTTTTCTTTACCTTTTCATGAAAAGACGGGGTCAGTTAAGTCACTGCAGACTTAAAGATTGTATGTTATATGGTGTATGATTGTAATCTGTCTCTCCATGCACGGATATAATCAATAAACCATATTCTGATCACATTTTTAAACATGGCTCTTGTTAAGATTATTTTTTACACCACACCACAAAGATTTAGTCAGCATCTGCCATGAATTCTGAGAATAAAGGGTCACCTCCCTAGGCTGGCAAGTCATCCTATATATGTGATTGTGTAATCTGACCACAACCCATAGGCGGATCTCAGTCGTGGGGTGGAATCTACAGGTGTCTTTCAAGCTGTCTCCGCATTCTATTGGACAATGGACGTGATGTAAACACTGCTGTGGATGTCAGTCAACGGGACAATCCACCATATTCGGTCAAAGACGGAAATACAACATTTTTTGTAATAAAGTATCTATATCTGCTCTTGACTCAAAGAAAAGCCAAAATAGTCCAAAGTTGATGCCAAAGCAATTTTCAATGAGCCACTGCCATTTTAGTTGTTCCACTCCACTGCAACATCCCGCTCACTAAACTGATAGAGTGCTGTGATTGGTTTGAGTCAGTTTTTAAAGAGAAATGCCCTAAAACACCAACAACTCCTGATAAAACAGGATGAAAGAAGAAGTTTAGCCTCACCAGTGGGCATGGGCTCCAGGCACCCCAGTCTGATAGCACACAGTCCTCGGGGCAGGGCAGGTGGCTGTTACGGGCCCCTAGAGGCATCTCTTCTGGGTCACACAGGTAGTCCTCTACCTGCTCAGAGGGCCCGTCTATAGTGTTGAGCATGCACCTGCAAACGAAAGGATCAAAGCACTGATTCATGGTTTTCGACTACATTTTTACATCTGAGCATCTTTTTGGAAGAAACTAAAGTTCCAGTTTGACCAACGCCAACGTTTTAGAAACTGGAAGGTTCTAATGCTTAATACTTAGTTTTCCTTGTCTTACCTAATTTTTCTGGTCTGCACGCCCTCACCACAGTTGTTTCTCAAGTCAACGTTACTGACTTTCCACACACTCCAGGGTTCTGCCACCCAAACATACTGCCCACAGTCACTGACGCAGGGCACCACCTCGTAGACCTGATGTACGAACAGACATATTGGTTAAGCTGCCTATTTATACAAGAGCCATGTGTTTCATCAGGCCCAATGAGGACACGGGAGGATCCATTATCATTAGCATCTTTTTATATATGGATGCTTTACCAGCCCCCAGTCACTAGAGGGCACCAGTGATCTGAATAATTAAGCTGGAGGAAATGACGAGGCAAGACAAATGAGAGTTGGCAGAAAAAGGCAGCAAAATACAGCAAAACCTACACAGACATTGGATTTACTGTAAGTACTGTCAGAAATGAAGTATTACGAACGGCTGGAAAATTACTACAGCTGCTGTAATGAATAACAGCAGGGTTGCTGAAGTTATTTGTGGATGATGTTGGTTCACAGAAGTGCCCAACCCCGGTCCTGGAGGGCTGATATCCAGCAGGTGTTGTGGTTTCTCTACTCCCACACACTGGATTCAGTGGTTGAGTCACCTGTGCAGCAGTTCATCAAGCTCTGCAGATGCCTGTTAATCACCTCCTGATCAAAATCAGGTGTGCTGAAACAGAGTTAAAACTAAAACCTGCTGGATGCCGGCCCTCCGGGGCCAGGATTGGGCACCTTAGGGTAAAAAACAAACCCATTACCACAAGGGTCGGAATATGCATGCTATTAATTACGTGTACATGTGATTTTAATGGCTACCTCATGTTACGTGCATTTGTGTGAAGTGTTGTTTGTCTGCATCCTCTGAAAGTAACGAGATGTGTTTGCAAGGAGCAACATATGTGTAACCAGTATGAACAAGACGCACTCGCCACTGTCACTCTCTCCCTGGTCTGCCTCTTACACACTGACTTTTTTCCTATCATGATCTAAAAATTAATCAGCTGCAGGTCTCTTATGTTTGCGCCATGTTTTATTTTTTTGTATCCAGCACTCTAAATGTCTGTGCTCTGTGCTGTGCCTCCTAGTGGAATCCTTCATATATATATATATATATATATATATATATAAAATATAACTATGTATACATATAACGTAACTATGTGTCTATAATGTAAAACTAACTTTATAACTAACTATATAACTATGACTATTTAAATATATTCATACTCTGTGTAACTACTACTTTAAAGTTACTCACCTGAGCCTGTTGATGGAATTCAGTCAGCACAGAAAAACAAAAACAGATAAACGGGGTCATTAAAAAAAACAGGCAGTATTAAAGTTTGAGACTATTTTCTAAGCGTAATTCAGAAAGTTCACCTGGTTGACGTGGTCCAGTTTAGGACATGGCCTTCCACCGTTGTAAGGCTTTTCTCTCAGCCACTTGGAGCGAACTTTGACCCCACTGCCACATGACTTACTGCAGCGCGACCAGTTGGACCACTCACTCAGTTTGCAGTCTGATGGACAGGGGATGATGCAAGCTTCCTCAATGTAGCCTGAAATCAGAAGGTATCGTGATATGTGCGGCTGTAAGGGTGTGAGCAGACGCTGGTGGAGAGCTTAGCTGAGTGTGTTTGTGTGGACAAGAAAAGTGCCCTAAGACCTTCAGAGGTCCAATGATTTATCTCTGGGGCAGTATCCCCAAAACCTCTGTTCATGTATTCTCAAATGCAGGATCTTCTTGTTACCCTTGTAATTCGTGCTATTTAAAGACCATTCATGTTGTTCAAAGAGCTCTACTGTGGCAAGGCCCCAGAGGTGGATGAGATCTGACCAGAATTCCTTGAGGATCTGGCAGGGGGTACTACTTTGGGGAAATGGGGTACCAGGCCCTTTGATATGGGCTGTTTGATCGTCATGGGCTCGACACACGGGAGGCGGCAAACGACCGCGATCAGCGAAATTTGTCGCCGTCGCTTTTATTACCTGACACACGGGAGGCGATCCGCGGCAGCGGCAAAGCCGTCTACGCGCTCTGTTCCATGGCGAAATCGAAACTTCCGTTGTTTTGCTTGGCTGTGTCAGGTTGGAGGGAATTAAGGTTATTTAAGTGGTTCAGAGTTAATAAAGTGGTAGATATGATGTTTCACAAGGTGCTGCTAGAGTTATGTGAAATCTTACTTTTGATTTTATTATATAAAACATAATAATAATCAACTTCTCCCTCATGTTTGCTCGGAGATGTACGGAGCATCCTGTCCGCTCATTGATCAGTGAATGAAACCTCCGTTGATTGGTCCTCGTCCGAGCGACAGTGATGAAAAGTTGAAAATGTTTCAACTTTCTGGGATCACGTCGCTGGGTCGCCTGTGCACGACACATGCACAAGCACAAAATTTCACACGCACGTTTTTCACGTTTCGCTTGGTAGGAGGGAGACCCGCGATTATCGCTTTGTCGCACATGTCTCATTGAAAATGGAGGAGAGGCGATGTCGCCTCCCGTGTGTCGAGCCCATTACACGACCGGTTGTCTCCAGGTCGGACCTTTGTCACTCATCCTGGTCATAACTTTTATGGACAGATTTTTAGGCGCAGCCAAGGTGTTGAGGGGATCTGTTTTGGTGGCCTGAGGATCGGGTCTCTGCATTTTGCAGATGATGTGGAGCTGTTGCCTTCATCAGAACGTGACCTCCATTTTTTGCTGGAGCAGTTCGCAGCCAAGTGTGAAGCGGCTGGGATGACAATCAGCTCCTCTAAATCTAAGACCATAGTCCTGAGCCGAGAAAGGGCAGAATGCGTTCTCCAGATCAGGGATGGAGTTTACGTATCTGGTGGTCTTGATCACGAGTGAGGGAAAGACGGAGCGCGAGATTGATAAGTGGATTGGTGCTGCGTCTGCAGTGATGCGGGAGTTGTACTGGTCTGTTGTGGAGAAAAGAGAGCTGAGCTGGACGGAGAAGTTATTGACTGAGAACATAAACAGTCACGCATTTACTCTAACTGAGTGAAGGACTAATGAAAAATTAGATTTTGTGATTTAAAAATAAAGTTTATATATTTAACCAGGAATTGTTGGTTTTGCAAGGTTCTGAGACTTTCTTATGCAAGTCAAAAACTGACAAGTGTGAGAGCCCCTGGTCTGATCCGTTTGTTTAACTGACTCTAAGGGTGGAGTCCATGAAACTTAGGAAAACCTACCATGACTGTTGCATCGAGATGTTTCTACTATGCGGTTGTCCTGGTCATAACACACCATGGCCTGGTAGCGATATCCTTGGCCACACTCCTTGATGTCACCTTGAACCTTCATGCCAAGCAGGCCCTCCACGCGGCTGCCTTCTGGTAGGATGCAGTCGGACCAGTTCCCCACCGGCTGGGCATTGTATTTATTACAGGGACAGTACTGGGTCTCACTCAGGGGATACATCTGATTGTTTTTACACTGGTCACGCTTTTTACTTTTTCCTGTAAAAAAGAATCACAAAGAATGTTCAAGTTGGACATCTTTCAAGAGTCGGTCTACCGTTGGACTCTACTAACCTAGTAGGATCCTCTTGCGAGTCCTGACTCCCACACAATCAGCTGAGCAGGAGGAAAACTTTGACCAGCTGCTGAGTTGACAGTCTTCCTGACAGGGCACCTGGCACAGCTGGGAGAGATGTGGCATGGGACTAGCAACCTTCAGACAAGCTTCAATTTCTGCTTGTCCACCATCTTGCTTTCGACATGAAACAGCTGCGAGAACAAAAGAAGAAATTATGACTGGTTAGGAGCCAGTTTAGTCAGAGTTTCAGCTGTCAGACAGATAGACTCACATTAGAGTCAATCATACTGAAGTCTACAGAAGGATTCGTGGTGACATAAGTGAGTCCTCTAGAAATTGAACCAATCCAACTTCTCAGCCTTCCACCACCGTGCTGCCAGCTGGGATCAAGAGTTTGATGCAGTGCATTTGTCACACAACCTCCCGCTCAGCCGTCAACCTCCTCTAGGGAGGCACCGCAGAGCCGCTCAGACTCCATTACCCAACATCCCTAGCGCCAGGTTTTCCGTTTCACGTCACCCGCCAAACCTATATAAGGAAGTGCCGCACAACGCCGGCTCACTCAGTCATCGTTCTCACCGAACTTAACCTAGAGTCCTAACCAGATCAGCTCAGATCACGAAGCCTGTTCAGATCAGACCAGCCCGATCTCCGAATCCTGCCTGTTCGTACAGATCAGCTTCAGACCAGGAGTCGCCGTGTTCAGCTGTGTCACAATACAGCTGCGTACCCGGCTCCCAGATTAAACAGCGTGTCCATTCAACCCGGCGTCAGTCACTCCGCGCTTGGGTTAAAAGCCACGCCACATCCAAACTCTCGCCCAGCTCGAGTCACCCCGTTACAGGATGACTGAGTCCACAGTTAACCCAGCGGAGTTTGATAACCTGCGTGCTCAGGTCAACCGGATGGAAGTCACGGTGGAACGCCTGGTCGCCACGGTGGTTCTCCAGCTCTCTGCTGCGCAGCAGCAGCAGACCTCCAGAGACCGAGACCAACCTATATTCAGCCTCCCGGAGAAATGGGATGGAACGCATGGCTCACCTGAAGGACTGTTAGCCACGTTAGCCATGACGTTCGAATGTCAGCCACACCGATATGCCACACCCCGCTCCCGGGTGGCGATGCTGGTCTCCCTCCTCACCGGCCGAGCTCAGGAGTGGGCAGCCGCCATGTACAATAAGAAATCGGAAGTCTGCAATGACTATGATATGTTCGTGAACGAACTCAGGAGGGTTTTCGTTCCCCCCAGTGGTGAGACGTCAACGGAGACGCAACTCCTCCAGCTCCGGCAAGGAAACCAGACGGTAGCGCAGTACACGTCTCGGTTCCGGACCAAGGCGGCCAAGCTGAGATGGGGAGACGACGCGCTAAAGGCGATCTACCTGGAAGGGCTCTCCTCCCGCATCAGAGACGGGATGATCGGACGGGAGACCCCCGGAATCCTGGACGAGGCAGCCGACCTCGCTCTCCAAATGGATTTGCGCCTTTTTACGCGCCGACCTGCTGAGCCCGCGGCAGCCGCAACCAACGATCGGTCCCGCTCAGCCAGCCCACTCACTGATGAGCCCATGCAGCTGGGACACTTAAACCCAGAGGAGAGGGAGAGGCGCTATAAGGAGGGGCTATGCGCCTATTGCGGCGCACCGGGTCATCGGCGCTTCTCTTGTCCTTCCTGGCCGGGAAACGCCGTCTCCAAGTAGGCAGCAGCAGAGGGGTCCTACTTGGGTCGGCCGGAACCCCCTCGACCCGCACCATGCTCCCAGTGACACTTCATCTCGCCCAGGGGCCCATTGAGCTGGAGGCGCTTTTGGATTCTGGAGCAGCGGACTGTTTCATGGATAAGGATCTGGCGGCCCGCCTACACATTCCCCTGTCCGCTCTCCACCGAACCATTCCCGTTACCTCCGTGGATGGTACTCCTCTCCAGCCCTATCCCATCCACCAGGAGACGGTGGACCTCCGTATGGACGTACCTCCCCATTCTGAGACCCTCCGGTTCCTGATTATCACAGCCCCTTTATCTCCACTGATCCTGGGTCACTCCTGGTTCTTACGTCATAACCCCCAGATCTCCTGGTCAACTGGGCGGGTGCTCACCTGGGGAGCGGCTTGTCATTCCCATGTACCTTCTCAACCTGACTCTGAACCTGAAACCCCAGATGTCGATGTCTCTCAGATCCCCTCCTGCTACCATGACCTGGCCCGGGTCTTCTCAAAGACACCTACCACCACCCTGCCTCCTCACCGACCATATGACCTGGAAATAAAGCTCCAGCCTGGCACAGTTCCACCCCGGGGTCGCCTGTACTCCTTATCCCCGGCTGAGACCCAGGCCATGGAGGCGTACATAACGGAGGCTCTCCAACAGGGGTTTATCCGACCCTCCACCTCGCCTGGAGCGGCGGGGTTCTTCTTCGTAAAAAAGAAGGAGGGGGGCCTTCGACCCTGCATTGACTATAGGGGTCTGAATAAGATCACGGTCCGCGACCGTCACCCTCTGCCCTTGATGTCCACCGCCCTGGATGTTGTGTCCCAATCCGCCATATTCACCAAGTTGGACCTGCGCAGCGCCTACAACTTGGTCAGGATAAAACAAGGCGAGGAGTGGAAAACCGCCTTCATCACCCCGACAGGCCACTGGGAATACCTGGTCATGCCCTTTGACTTGTGTAACAGTCCTGCGGTTTTCCAACGGCTAATCACTGACGTCCTGAGGGACATGCTGGGCCGGTGGGTGTTCGTTTACCTTGACGACATCCTGATCTACTCCCGAACCCTGGACGAACACATCACACACGTGCGATCCGTTCTTTCCCGGTTGCTGGAGAACGGTCTCTACTGTAAACTGGAGAAATGTGCCTTCCATCAGGAGACCATCTCCTTCCTGGGTTTCGTCGTGTCGTCAAGAGGATTTTCAATGGACCCCCAGAAGGTCCAGGCTGTCGCCCAATGGCCGCAACCCACTTCCCTAAAACAGCTCCAGAGCTTCCTCGGATTCGCGAACTTCTACCGCCGCTTTATTCGCGGTTTCAGTTCCATCGCCGCGCCCCTCACTGCCTTAACCAAGTCATCCAACCAGACTCACCCTTTCCGTTTCACTCCTGAGGCCACACAGGCATTCCGCACCCTGGTGCACCGATTCATGACCGCTCCCCTCCTCGTTCATCCGGACACAACAAAGCCATTCATCGTGGAAGTGGAGGCGTCCGAGGTGGGTGCAGGGGCGGTCCTATCTCAACGCGGTCCAGACTCCAAACTCCACCCCTGTGCCTATTTCTCCAGGAAATTCACACCCACCCAGAGGAATTACGGGGTGGGGGACAGGGAGCTCCTGGCTATTAAATGGGCGCTGGAGGAGTGGAGGCAGTGGCTATTGGGTGCCCAGGACCCGTTTACCATATGGACAGACCACCAAAACCTAATTCATATCCAGAATGCTCGCCAACTCAACCCCCGTCAAGCCCAGTGGGCTCTGTTTTTCGAATCCTACCACTTTCATCTGGCTTATCGCCCTGGTTCTAAGAATCTGAAGGCGGACGCCCTTTCCCGCCATCACGCCCAATCTGCACCCGTCAAGGAACCACCACCTATTTTACCTGCCCAGAGGTTCGTTGCAGCCCTTCACTGGCCAGTGGAGGACGCCATCCGAGCTGCTCTTCCCACCGAGCCCGCACCTGCTGACACACCCTCCAACCGACTGTATGTGCCATCCACCTGCCGGTCTGAGGCCCTAGCATGGGGACATGCTTCCCGTTTGGCTGGCCACCAGGGGGAGACCCGCACCCTCCAGTTCCTACGTCGGGCCCTGTGGTGGCCCTCCATGGCTAAGGATGTCCATGAATACGTGGCTGCATGTTCCACCTGCGCCCGTTCCAAGACTCCGAACCAACCCCCGGCTGGTGACCTCCACCCTCTTCCTGTTCCCCACAGACCCTGGTCCCACATAGGCCTGGACTTCGTCACGGGGTTGCCTCCCGTCAACCAGCTCGACACCATCCTGACCATCGTGGACAGGTTTTCCAAGGCGGTCCACCTGGTGGCTCTTTCCGGCCTGCCCACCGCTAAGCAGACGGCCGAAGTCCTTCTGGAGCAGGTGGTCCGTCTCCATGGGTTCCCTCAGGACATTGTCTCGGATAGAGGGCCCCAATTCATGTCTAGGTTCTGGAAAGCCTTCTGTCGGCTGGTTGGTGCCAGTAGCAGCCTCTCGTCTGGCTACCATCCCCAGACCAATGGACAGACTGAACGCGCCAACCAGCAGCTCGGGCGGTACCTGCGCTGCTTTGCCTCTTCCCAACCAACCACATGGCCAAAGCATCTCTTGTGGGCGGAGATGTCCCATAACCTCCACGTCTCCTCGGCTACTGGTCTTTCCCCGTTCGAGCTGTGTAATGGTTACCAGCCCCCTCTGTTCCCTCACCAGGAACCGGAGACGGAGGTTCCTGCGGCCCAGCTCCTAGTTCGACGTTGCCGTCTCGCTTGGATCCGTGCTCGGGCTGCCATCACACGAGCTAACACGGAGTACTCACGCCAGCATAAGCGCCGCCACCGGCCTGGTCCGACCTTTCAGCCGGGCGATAATGTGTGGGTGTCTACTCGTAACATGCGTTTGCCCGCCGGCTCCAAGAAACTCAGCCCACGGTTTCTGGGTCCTTACCCCGTGGAAAGGGTCATCAACCCCGTGGCTTACCGCATCCGCCTGCCCCGGTCTCTCAAGGTTCACCCAGTCTTCCACGTTTCCCAGCTGAGACCGGTCAGGACCTCTCCTCTCGCTCCCCCCCCTGTGCCCGCTTCACCGCCTCGTGGGGTGTGCGGTGATGGTGTTTATGCTGTGCGCCGCCTGCTGGATGCCCGTCGCCGTGGCAGGGGATGGCAATACCTGGTGGACTGGGCGGATTACGGACCGGAGGAGCGTTCATGGGAACCGTCGAGGGTCATCTTGGACCCCTCTCTCATAACGGACTTCTGGGCTCGCCGCTCTGGGACTTCTGGGGCCGTCCCTCGGGTGGGGGGTCCTGTCACACAACCTCCCGCTCAGCCGTCAACCTCCTCTAGGGAGGCACCGCAGAGCCGCTCAGACTCCATTACCCAACATCCCTAGCGCCAGGTTTTCCGTTTCACGTCACCCGCCAAACCTATATAAGGAAGTGCCACACAACGCCGGCTCACTCAGTCATCGTTCTCACCGAACTTAACCTAGAGTCCTAACCAGATCAGCTCAGATCACGAAGCCTGTTCAGATCAGACCAGCCCGATCTCCGAATCCTGCCTGTTCGTACAGATCAGCTTCAGACCAGGAGTCGCCGTGTTCAGCTGTGTCACAATACAGCTGCGTACCCGGCTCCCAGATTAAACAGCGTGTCCATTCAACCCGGCGTCAGTCACTCCGCGCTTGGGTTAAAAGCCACGCCACATCCAAACTCTCGCCCAGCTCGAGTCACCCCGTTACAGCATTGGGGTTAACCTGAGTACTTTGGGACATTGTTCCTGTAGTTTATTCAGATGAAACTTGAGCTGCCAGGTTCTTTAGAGAGAAGAAATGATCTCCTTCAGCCACTCCAAATTACTTTCTCTGTCTTTTTCAGGTTGTCCCGTCATGACCTTTAACTTTAGGCTTCTTTCATGCGAGCTGTTATTTTGCCGTGAATGCTAAACAAATAAAATAAAATACTTTTTAGCTGGACCCAAACGTGAAAAAACGGAGTGCCTTTTGGGAACGAGGCTTGCAATTTATGTTCTGATTATGGAATTTACTTTTTTATGAGGTTAAAGACTGAGCGGGTTTGATGATGTGCTACTTTCCCATGCCATAACTGACTATAGTTTGCATGCTGGTGTGTGTCTATGAAAGTGGTATTTAAACAGCACACATGTCAGGAACACAGAGGAGCATGCCACTAACCTGCAGCTCTGTAGACAGGTTAGAGCAGCCAGAGCTTCATCGTCCACTATTAAAACACCCCAGCGCACACACATTAGCATAGCAATGCAGTAGGTGGTGTGTTACTGGGTTAGCTCACTGCTGCTTAAAGTGTTTCATTAAAAAGGTAAATTTATAAGATAAATGTATATTTTTCAGTTTTATAAGGCATAAAGTGCACAGAGAGTTCTCAGACTACCAGATGAGGACCAGCTACGTGCGTGGGTAAAGACACGAATCAGATCAAATTCAATCTGATGGGGTGTGAGAAGGCTATCTCAGGTCTTTATGATTTGTTCATCATTACACAATCAGACCTCAGGAGAACCCACTGAGATATAAAACCATCAGAAGAATGGCAGCTGTCTTAAAACTTGTGATTAATATTTGTCTTTACAGTATCCTGGACCAATAGTTTGGAAAGGACCTTTGACCCATTCCAAAAAGATAGGCAACAACTCAAGATGAATATATTTGGATATACATGAAATATCTAGCCTGGTAATCCAACCTATATATGTAAATATGTAATCTGACAACAAGACATTGAAACAACTCAGTCACAGAGCAGAATCTATGACTGTCTTTCAAACTGTCTCGTAACACTTTACAATAAGGGACACAAGATGGTGCTTCGTCACTGCTCATTAAGTACTAAGTAATGATTTGTTCCTCAGTAGGTACTTGGGAGGAAGCTTCACTACTTTAGGAGACACAAATGTAGTATCTAATAAGTGAGTACTGAGTAAAGGTTGGTTTATGCTTGACACGTCCGCGAGGTCCGCAAGGCTCTGCGCGGAAAAGTTGCGTCATTTTGCGTCATTTTAACAACCACGCCCCTCCACCGCGCCTCCGCACAGCCCAGAATTTCCGCAACGCGCACCTCGAAAAATTTCTAACCACGCGGATGGACGGACGCGGAAAAACATGGCGGACCGGCAAGAACTAGCATGGCAGAGGTTCGTAAATACAGACATTTGTATGATTCAGCTCTAAGAGTGATCAACATGTTGTTAATAATTCTTGGAGAGAAATAGCTCGCACTGTCAGAAAAGTCGAGGACGCTGTTGAAAATGCTGGAATGCCATGTTGTAAACAGTCATTTCTACTTCTACTATGGTGTAGTGTTGGATGCATGCCATAGAGCTCCGTGCTGCCCCCTACAGTTTGGGAGAATATTGGCTCACCGCAGAGACAAGCCGCATGAACCATAAACGCTGCGAGTTGTGAAGCGCGTTCCATCCGCGAGCCGCATCACCGCGCGGAAAGTGAATGCGTCAAGCATAAACCAAGCTTCAGTGATGATTCGTTCCTTCTCTTTTCCTTAGATAACTATCCATTAGTCAGTGAATAAGACTGGTGGGTGTTTTTACCAGTAAATACTGGTTAACTACCCATTAGTTCCTGGTTCATTGCTCAGTACCTCCTAAGTCATTCCCTAGTAACGACCCTTACTGTCTCTGCAACCAATAATCAGCACTAGGGCAAATCAGAGCAACGAACAACATCAAGTATTCATTGCTTGGGAAAAAGTCAATGGGGCAGTCCGCCATACACCATCAAAGAAGAAGCTCTGTCTCAGCTCTGGTGGTAATCCTGCCCAACAAACCAATAGAGTGCTGTGACTGGCATGACACACAACTGTTCAGACAAATGGTAGACCAGCTAAGACTATAACGGAACGTGGCTCGGCCAACCTGCAGAGTAATATCTTTTTGCTAATGATTTCTAGGCTATGAAATAATAACATCATCACCATAGCAAATCACCATTTTATTAAACTTAGGCCATTCTCACATTGAACCAATTAACCTTCAGCAATAAACACGGCCTCCAGGCTCATTCAGAATCTCTGAGTGCGTTGTGACCTGCCAACCAGTCACACTATGTGTGGGTCTTCTTGCCTCAGACAAGTTAGGAAGACTAGTCATGCATGTCTTTGCCAGCGCTGTTTGTCGTGTGTTAACACACGCCTGTATGCTCCGGACCAGCAAGTCCACACAAGCCCTGCTTCTTTAGGCAAGCTGGTGATGAGCAGTGTTCTAAAGGTTCATTTGCTTCTATTACATTCACTTTAAATAAATGAAGGGAGCTAGTATTCTGGATTTTTTGCTGAGTATTATGGGTAACTAACAGCATTAGTGCTTTAGTGTTCAACGCAGAAGCCAATGAGCGTCACTCTGATCTTCTTCTGCTGACTCACAGCCTCACACCCCAAACTGATGCGTTACTGAGGTTAAAATTAGGTTTGTATTGAAGAGACATTTATGTTCCACCTTATCTTAAGTCAGTAAGAGGATATCATGGTGGAAACACTGCTCATAAAGGATCATAGACATGATTAATCACTTCCTCTATCTAAACACTTAGTGTGAAGCCTCCAGACACAGGCCGTAGGCAAATAAGAGTGCTCATGTTGCAGAAAAATGATACTTTTGAATGCTGAGTAGTTTATTTCTCCCTCATTTAAACTCAGTTTTGAACCCTTCCAATGAAACACATCCATGAGCAAGAAAGAGGGGGTGTAACACCCCCCCCCCCCCCCCCCCCCCCCCCCCACATTGTGTTTGACTGCTGTATGCAGCAGGTGTGGGGTGTGGGGGGGTGGAGTAGGGTGGTAATGAAAGGCTTGTATTCCTGTATTCTGTTACAGGTAATAGTGCTTAATGATAATAGCCTCCAATGATGGAAGAGAAGGAAGCTCATCGTTTACATCCAATAATAGTCTTTCCTCTGAGACTTTAGGACAGTTAGTGCTGATGAAAACTCTTCTGTCTCCAGGATTGGGTCGCCAGAACTGGTGGATCAAGGGTTGCAAGTTCGAGCCCTGCTTAGTCGGTCGCAGTCGTGGCAAGACACTTCACCCTCCTTGTCTTCTAGTGGTGGTTGGAGGGACCTGTAGCGCCTGTGTGTGGCACCCTTGCTTATGTCAGTGTGCTCCAAGGGAGCTGCGGCCACGATGTGGCTCATCACCATTAAAATGTGGACAACTGAATCACCGAGTGTGAAGCACTCTGGAGTCCTCTACCTCAGAAAAGCTCTATGCAAGGTCAGGTCATGGGTCAGACTTAAACGTGGAACTGCTGATGCTGGGGGCTAAAGATGTTCCAGCAACGCCGGAGCCCAAGACACAGTCCGACAGAAGGGAGAGACTAAGGACAGGATGAGGAACTGACTTCTGTTGGATGTCTGGAGAATGATCTAGCGTTTGAGCGCTGAACAGAGGAGCGGATAAATAAGTGTAGAGGAATATGTTCATGTTCAGCATGCATGAGCAACTCAGCGTGACTGATCACGTTCTAAAATAATAAGTAATAATTATTTTTCTGGGAGCCTGGTCTCTAACAGGGACTGAGTGTGTGTTCACTTAACCAGTGTAAGATTGAGGTTTTTGGACGTGATTACCTCTAAACTGCAAACCCGGCCCACAAGTCTCCTGAGCTCCGGGAGAGTCCTGCCGGATGGACCACGGGACCAGCTGACAGCGTCTCCATTTGTGTGTTTTCCATCTGGACAGAATCAGAGCAGACAGGAACATGCAGAAATGTGTGTCCAAACTAGTGCTGAAAAATAAAACGAAGTATGTGTGTGCGCGCGCGCGCGTGTGTGTGTGTGAAGGGAGGATTTGAGGCTGCAGCAGCCTCCATATTTACAGCTGAACAAAACCTCTGCTGTGGTAGAACAACAGCTGAGGAACGTTAGATGTTCTTGAACACTGAGAGCCTAACTTTAGCCAGCTGTTCTACATGAGAACACACGAGCAGCTGAGACACGTGATTATTGCTACCTGTATCCATGACAGACGGACTGAGCTTCACACTCCTGTTCCTGAGTCAGAGCTTCAGGACAGTCCTGTCCCCCGTTGGCGGGTAACTGGATGATGATCCGTTTCCTGTGCTGCTTCCTGAATTGCCTCCTGGTGTTTCCTTTTGATGAAAAACAGAAGCAGAGCATTCAAGAAATACCTTTGACCGGAACCAGAACAGAACTGCCCCTGCATCACTGTGAGACCCAAAAGGCTGGCCCAGAAACTCAACTTCAACTCCACACCGGTTCTCCCCACATGGTCACATAAAAACCCCACTTAACTCAAGTTTGTTTGTTAATTTGCGCTTCTTTAGAACACACAACCCACCATGGAGGCAAGTTCATGCGTCCACGTTTTCTATCGCTCTCTGCTATGTTTTTAAATCTATGTTGGTCTTTTTACATCATTTTACACAGATATCATACCCCTGTAATCTACTTGCAAATGTTTTTTTTTCTTTCTTTCTCTTAATTTAAAAACTTAACCCTTTGATGCATAACGGTCACTACAGTGGACAGGAACTCAAAATTGTTATTTATTTGTTTTTGCTATTAAGCACAGCTGTTGAAGACTTTATTGCATTTGAGCCCCTCCATTTGGACTTCAGTAAGTCAAGCCACCATGTTCAGAATGCACGCTGTCCACTGAGGTGGACACGTAATAAATTGTTTATAAATTATACAATTTTACAAAAAATATTTGTTGAAATTTGTTTCATTCACACCTAAAGATGAATGAAAAAAATTGTTAAAAAAAATCACGGTTGAAGATTTCATAATTCATGCATCAAAGGAGACAAAATCGTATTTTTTATATCAACAATTCCCTAATGAAAAATGAACAAAAAAAATCAGACTTTAATCACAGAACAATGTCAGAATCCTGATTTAATAATATTAATTTTATCCAAGAATTTTCACTTTATTCTCAGAATTCCACAAATAAACTTTAGTGGCACTAATCCTCTTCTGTTTGATTAGTCAGAAACTATAGAGACTTGTGGTTACGCTCTAAACAAGTGTTACTCTGGTGGACCAGGGGGGAGGTCTGGTTCAGGAGGAGCGTCCTGCTGTAGCTAACCTGCTGGACATGCTGTAGGACAGGGGCTCCAGCTGCTGTAGGGGGTGACCACACAGTCTCTCTTGCAGGGCAGCAAACACGGCCTGACAGTATCGGGGCGAAGACTATCTGGACACCTGGAGGAACAGAATAACAATCAGTCACACACTCAAGGCTGGGTCGTCTCCAAGCAGCTTTTCCTGGAAGGATCCAGAATATGTTAATGGCAATGGGAGCTTTCATAACTGTTTTGTTGTTTTAGCGTTACTCTGCAGCTTATAGCCCGATAATAAATCACATCCGGTTAAAGCTGACGCACCATTTTTCTTATTCTCCAACAAACTAGTAAAACTGACCCATGAATGAGGTTTACAGACAATATGAATGAGGAGCTGTTTCTGATGAACTGACCCTCTGAGTTCTGGTGTTGCCAGCAGAAACCTCTTTGTTTACATTGACAGGACCCCAAGGCAGCAGGTTCAGAGCTCAGCATGTAGCAGCAGGTTTAGGAGGAAACGCAGGAGTGAAGAGCTGGATTAGTGTCTACACACAGTGCAGGGGGGGCTGGTGGAGTACGCCTGAAAAATGCTGCTCTGCTGCCAGAATAATGCCACTGTTGTGTTGAATAAATAAACAGATAGCTCATGTTCCCAGCAGATGCCTCCAGGTAGGGGAGGAAAAGAAACAGATGTTGGTGAGCAGCTCATCAGCAACACACCGACCCTCAGACCGAACCATGTCTGTCAAATCAGCACTCAGACTCCTTCCTACAGTCCTTCAGAGTAAACAAGTCTATGACTGCTTTGGTTACAGAGCTTCAACCAGGAAAGCTGCTGGTCTGATTGTGGGTGATGTTCCTGTAGAAACACCTGATGAGTGCGAACACCGGTTCTAGTAAACTACCGTCGACTGGACTTCTATACGTACAAAAGATACTTTGCTTCTCTTCTTCAGGGGTCTTCAAATTCAATTTTTTTTAGCTTTATTTGTAGTGAGTGCAAACTAACTCAACCCCTCCCATGGGCTGCCTTTGTGGGCCAGGTACACACATGAGAGGGTTTCATCACGAGTTTCCCAAAGACGGAAATCTGACTCGGAACTTTGGAGATTTCTGACTACCGTATTTTCACGACCATAAGGCGCACCTAAAAGTCTTAAATTTTCTCCAAAATGTACGCCCTATGGTGCAGTGCGCCTATTGTGTTGTTGTGAGATGCGAATGTAGTAGAAGACAAGGGGCGTGGCGTGAACGTGCGGATGCGAGTGAAGACAGACCCCGAATAGTTCAAAAGGGCAGGTATGCGCGGTAGGCTGAACATTGGTCTGACAACCCTGAGAATGGCACCTGCTAAGAGACACGCCTACGAAGCACAGTTTAAAATGCAAGCAATCAGCTACGCGGAGAAACACGGGAATAGAGCAGCGGCGAGAGAATTCAGCATTAATGAGTCCATGGTTCGCAAGTGGAGGAAGTTGGAAAATGAACTCTGACAAGTAAAGAAGAACTAGCTGTGTTTCCGCGGGTACAAAGCCAGGTGGCCTGAGCTGGAAGACCGCCTCGAGCTTTGGGTTAACGAGCAGAGGGAAGCTGGGAGAAGCGTCTCTACAGTCACCATTCGTCTGAGGAAGTGCACGTGCGCTCTAAACCAGGTCTGAACCAGGGCTAGACCAGTAAAGTGAAGCATGCTTTTGGCTCTTTATAATTTTCACAATGTCTGGTTTGCACTGATATGTTCCGAGTCCCGAGCCCGCACAGATGTTTTACCGGTACATTTACCGTGCCCGTGCCCGCGCCCTATAACCCGGTGCGCCTTTTGTATGTGTTAAATAGCAAAAAGACACCCGTAACTGAAGCTGCCCCCTATAACACAGTGCACCCTATGGTCGTGAAAATACGGTAGTCTGAACTTTAAAATCCAACATGGCCACCCCATGCACGAGACTATTGTTAGCTGACCTGTTGAGCCACAATTAGTGAATCTCTTATGGTCAAACGTTATCACAACCGTTGCCCTGGTTACTAAACACAACAGTTAGCTAGTGCCTTCATGACCTCCAGTTGGAACACGGTTAAGCTTGTTGTGATGTCATTCCCAGATCTGTGATGTCATTCCCAGATCTGTTGTTCTAACATTCACTTTAGGCTTTATCATCTTGTTGATCAGATTTCTGCACCAGAACAGATCCAAACATGTCAGCTGACGTGGAACATTTAGTTAAACCATAACAGATCTTACTTTTTGGGAGGAACTTGGCCCACATTGACTCGGACACAGATGATTTTTCGAGTTTGCATCCCAACAGAACACGACGTGTCATCTCCACGTATTCGTCCCACAGATGTGTTGGTGGACAGGATGGACGAGTCCTCAATGCACTGTCCCCATGTTCCCGTCTGCCAGTGGTACACAGTGCAGGGATGGTCATTACAGCTCCTCACCTCCTGCAGAGCACTGATGTTGGGACACTGGAATCCTCCTGAGGAACCAAGGAAACAAGTTTAAGGCGGATCCAATAGCAAGGTCTATCAGCAAGTCAACCTAAAGCTCTATCCTACCTGATCTACCTGGATTTCAACTGCTGACTTTGAGTTAGTAACTGAACAACAGCCTCATAGCGTTTTTGTTTCTTCTCTGTTTGGATTTTGTTGGATCAGCAGATTTCTACACAAAAACCACTTTCATCAAACCAAACGTACACACACAACATCCTACATCAGCAAAAACCACAGCTACTCTCTAAGAACATGGAAATATGTCCGTAGGGACCTAGAAGAGGAGTAAAGAAAACATAGATCTGTTTGGAAGCCCACACTGAGTACCACAGAGGACATCTCGGAGGAGGAACTTCTTACCATGCATCACAGAAACCCAGGCAACAACTCTGGCTGTCACTGTGTGGAAAATACATAATAACAATTCAGAGCTGGGAGAGTCAATCTGGAACCAGCCCTGCAAACAGTCAACGTCACATAGACGTGCAGATCATGTATATTGAGTCTGTTGGTCCAGACCGTGTCTGTAGGACGTCCAAAGTAGGTCTTTGCACAGTGGGATGGGAATGTGTTGATCTATTGATGGGATTTTTGTCCATAATTATTGCCAGCAGAGATCTGTTACTGAATGGGATGGGGTGTCAGTGATTCACATGTTATACCTATTTTTGTAATGGTCAACACAGTGTTAATGTGCGTGCGAATGGGTGAATGACTGATTGTGTTGTGAAGCACCTTGGGGGCTTGTATCTGTAGAACCCTAAGAAGATGCTATAAAAATACAGACCATTTACCATTTACCATGTTATTTACGTATGTTTTTGCCTTATCGTTTCTAGTAAAAACACGTAAAAGCATGAACGAACCAAGACTGTCTTGTCATCCCTCCAAAACATCTTTATCTGTGTTTTTTGTTAAAGATGTCTGTTGTGTGTTGGAAGTGTTTGGCAACCAGCAGGATTTATTTGTTGGATTGCTCTTGCAGAGAAGTGTCAACGGGTGGGGGATGTCTTGCAGTTAATCAGCAACCCGCATACTCTACAACTAAAATTAAAGAATTTTACAGTAGATTATTGACAAAACAGTCTGTCTCAATTAGGTTACAGAAAGATTACATGGAAATGGATTTCCTTCTCTGCTGGCTGGGGGATTGTTTTTTTCCTTTCAAAAACACCGAAGAGTGACGTAATTACTGTGTGCCTCTCTTAGGGATGGCCGCTACCGCTCCGGCAGTGTTATTTGTAACACTGGCCGGCAAAACTCAGCAGCATTTTGGAAAGGGCCAAAACCGTGGAGCGACCTAGAACTTATTTCGGTAAGTCTTTATTAACTCATTCACTGCCATTGACAACTAAAGTCGTCATTTTAAATCCAACCGTTCACTGCATTTCATTTACATGTTTTTGCTGTTTGAGCATCGGAACGAGCCCCCGTGAGAACAAACATCTCAGCTCTAAAGCCAATCTTCATCCGCACACGTCACACGTCGCGTGATCAGGAAGCAGAAAACCCGTGTGTTAGGAGATTGTTTTGGGCCGCTGCTGTAAAAAAAGTGAGGCGCGAACCGGAAAAACTTCTGCAGATCACAATTCAACAACGCATTATGAAAGAATGGATGACGCTCGAAAGGCGCAGATTCTTCCTGATGTAAGAGGTGAGTCTCCGCTTTGTTTTAGTTGTTTTGGCATCGACATCATCCTAGCGTGCAACGTTCTGTGACTCTTAAAAAAAAAAGTAAAAACACTGAGAAACGCTGGAAGCGAAGGACTTTACCGATCAGGAAATGGCTGGCAGCGAATGAGTTAATGTTACTTAGTGCATCAATAAACATCAATAAAGTAATAAAAACTGCTTGATATGAATGTTAATATTAAGTAATGCATTACAAAGCAGCTAAAAAAACTACAGCGTCGCGCGGTAAAGTCGGCATTTCCGTCTTTTTTCTGATTGGTTATTTTTGAGCTGCCTAATCCCGCCCCTCATGTGCCTCTCTTCCTCTCTGCCTGTGAGCTACCAGGCTCTTTCTCTGTGCAGAATTAAACAGAGGAGGAGTCTGGCAGGCCAGGCTACTAGAGGCTAACATTAAGCTAACGATGCTAACGGTGAATAGGAAAAACTCAGTTGGGACTAAAAAACTATGTCAAACTACAGTGAAAAGTATTTATGTACTTATCAAAGTACTGTGTATTACTCGTCTTGACTCATCATAGAATCTTCTGGCACTGATCCATAGCTGGCAACAGCCGTGAAACTCATGAAATGGGACGGGGGTGAGAAAGTCACTCTTCATAAACATGGACTGCAGTACCCCACTTTGACCATGGGATGTCATTCTTGCTTCATTCTTACATCATGCAGCTTTAACACCATAACAAGTAGTAACTACCAAAGGGTGTCTCTAATGCTACATTTACTAACCCTGATTATAATTATATATTTTTACAAGCCTATTTCTTGAAACCAAATATACATCAGACGTAAGAACAGAACTAAGAAAACCCACATGGCTCAATGGCTTTCAGCAGCAGCTGAAAAATAACATTGTAAATGAACCAATCATGCGGTTTTCTTTGAAACTATGCAAGATTTAAAACAAGGCTTCATCGACACGCCCCTTTTGATGCTCAGTATGAGTCTCTGCTTCATTGATCTCATCACTTTCTAAAATGCCCCAAGAATTACAAATTTGGTTTTGAGGTAAAGTGTTCCTGGAGCTGGAACCTGCAAAACCTTCAGTGAAGATTCAGAAACCACAAGAATCACCTCAGTGAATCATCGGTTACTTCATTTCACAAAACAGGACTTCTTGGATGGATATCTTTATCTTAAATTAATCTTAATGTGATGACATTTCTGTTATAGGAAAGGCCTTTTTGGACCAAAGATCTTTTTGGGTTTGCTCTCCTGGTTCCTCGTTTATCCTTCAAATAGGAAAAGCTTAGAATGGAGAGGTTATTTTAGGGTTTGGAGTTTTTTTCCATGTTCTGGTTCTGTGTGACGCTGGTTTCTGTAGTTTCCTACCTTCTCCTGCATTGTAGGCCAGGATGGACCTGACTCGGGTCTGCCTTCCCTCGGTGTTTTTCCCAGAGCAGGTATGAGAGCAGAGTGACCAGAAGGTCCAGGGGCTCAGGGCACAGTCCTTAGGGCACGGCACCTCGCAGATGGAGGGCATGGGAAGGATGGCGTCCCGACACAGTTGCTTCTCCACGTTTTCACCTGGATGGACAAGAGAACCGTTATAGGGGGTTTCGATCAAATTGGTTCTGGAGACACAGTGAGATGCGAAAGTTTGGGCAGCCTTGTTAATCTTCATCATCCCCCCCTCAAATATTCTTTCTTATGGTTGGATTCACTGGTGTGCGGAGGTCAAGGGTCACTGAGCTTACCAAAAACCACTTTTGAGTTCCAATAATTAGTTCTGAAGGTTTTGGAATCAATAAAATGACAAGTGCCCAAATTTATGCACCTGCCTAATTTATTTTAAACAACTTTCTGTAAAGCCGTCATTTCACTTCTCAAATATCACTGAGAGCGTCTCCTTATGATATTTTTAACTGACGTTTTTTATTACAACAAATTATGCAGGAAAATCGTGAAGATTAACAAAGCTGCTCAGACTTTCGTATCCCACCGGTGCTGGTGCCAGAGCTAGTGCTTTGGCGGTTCTAAACCGGTTCACACTGGTTCCTTTTTCCACAGACTCGGGTCTTGGTCTGTGCAATTGTATTACCAAAGCGATGGGTCATGACTGTACACACCTACATGGGGACAGAGCATGTCACTGACTTCTGATCTACAGCATATAAAAAATAAACCTTCATGTTGAAATATTAATTATGTCCATCACGCTTTTCTTTATAAATCACAAACGTTGCATACAAATTCACTTACACAATCTCCAGACCTCGTTTTGTATGTAAGCAAGCTTCTAAATCAGACCCCTGGTCTTTATTTAGAGACGCAAAAGCAGCATCAGAAACACAATAATGAGAGTAATACGGGATGTTATTTTAGTCTTAGAGGGATTTGAGTTGCTGCATTGATCTTCACCTAAAGTCTGTCATCACCTTCATCACTCCAAGCTGTAACTCCTCCGTCCACTAAAAGGCCTATCTATGAAAATCTCCTGGTGAATGGTCCAAAGACTGACAACTGGGGGATTCAATGACATATGTGAGTCCACAGGGAAAAACAGATCTATTTCCATCTGAATGAGAAAACCAGGAATCAATAGCAGGCCAGCTGGGAAGGACTCTGACTGACGATGGGAGATGTACACAACCTGGCAAGGTCAGTCAAGGACATCCAACATCTGAAAGCATTCATATCTTTAATGCATGGATATTCTTTTGGATCTGGATGATCATGATCTTCAGCCCAGACTGGAGCAGTCAGTGGTCCAACAAACGGGCTTCTAATGTAAACATCAGCTGTTTCAACCTCAGACCCTCCAGGTTTCCACCCAATTTAAATTCAAATGACAACAAATCATTTTTAAACTCATGGATCGATAGAAGACTGGAGAAAACATTTAGTTTATTTTCAGCTCTACGTGTTGAAGAATGTTCCTGAAAACCCACAGATCCCGAAACGTGAAACTCTTCTCAGGTCCGTTTCTGGATGAGCCGCTGCTTCTGGAACCCAGATGAAAGCCAGGCCTCAGCGCCGCCACATCCAGATGAGATTATCTCACACATCAGAGTTAATGGGAGTGATTCCAAGAAGCAGCGGGCCGTGCTAATTTCATTCTGATTCAACAGGGTCCAATAACAGCAGAACCAGGCTGAGTGCTCCCGCAAGATGGGAGGAAGGAAGACTTATGAGGATGCGCTCACTTTCGAGCCCAGACCAAAAAAGCTCCAGATAATAACGAGTACTCGGAGAGGAATGGGAACAAGATAAGCTGATAAATATATTCAAATGTTATTTTAGTGTGGAGGTAATTTAACTGCTCTGAGAGTGTTGCGGCTCACTGCTGAGCTCTAAAAAAAAGCTAACTACCTCTGAGCTGCCATCTTCCTGGGGAAATGAGGAGAAACAGCAACTCGGTAGACTTTTTATTAAAGATGTTCTTTTTTGTTTGTTTTATTTGTGTATTTTTTTAATCAAAAATACTTGTTAATCATTAATTGTCTCATCAAAATCTAATCCATGTTGCTGCTGTCGAGGAATGTAGAAGTTCAGTAAAATAAGGAGAATCGTGATTAAAAAAATCAAACACCATCCCTCTCCATGTGGGTGCCAGTTACTCCCTAGGGCCCTCATTAAAACACACACACACACACACACACACACACACACACACACACACACACACACACACACACACACACTCAAAAATGGCCTGTATTTGACATAGCCCTTTTAGACTCCTCCCCCCCAAAGCTCTATCAGGCCACCACCAGCAGACAATGTAGGTTAAGTGTCTTGCCCAAGGACACAACGACAGCATTCTATGCTGGGAACAACCCTGCAACCTTCCAATCACTGTACAATCTGCCAAACCTCGCGCTACTGCCCCCCCCCCCCCCCCCCCCACCACCACCACCACCACCAACACACACAGCAATGCTTTTTATTTCTGAAAGTCTGTCACTCAATTGTTGTTTGTGTGCTAAAACCAGTTGAAATCAGTGAAAACCATTAAAGAACTTTTAAAGCTGCCTCAGAAAGAGTTCCTTTTACAATTGGAAATGATTCTATGAACTTCTATGACACATGTGAAACTTTGTTGGGGTTCACAGTGTCTCAGGAGCCCTGATAAATGGCTAAACATAACCCCATAAGGAAGTCGTACCAAGGAAAGACTGGTTTGACCAGAACATGAATAGTAAATGAGCTGCATGCTGAGTGTCGGGCTTGCCGTAGTCCACAGGTGGGTGCAGAGGGCAAGAGTTTGGATGAACACAGAACAGACATTTCAGATAGGTGCAGAGGGTTTGTGGATGAACGGGGAAGAGGACAATGACCAAACCATTCCGCTAGCTGATAATCTATCTAGCATTTGTTTAAAGTCTGGATTTTCTCAGCTCATCCTGTAAGTAAGTAAGTAAGGTTTATTTATATAGCTCCTCTCACAGACAAAAAGGTCACAAAATGCTTCACAAGTTAAAACGACACATATAAAGGCTACTATAAAATACAGTCACAATATACATAAAAAGTCATATACAGCCAATCTGCATACAAAACATGCCCGGAGAAACAAATGGGTTTTCAGATTGCTCTTAAAAGCATCAGCTGAGCTGAGTGAATGTAAGAACAGAGGTAACTCATTCCAGAGCCCTGGTGCGACGGCCTGGAATGAGCGATCTCCTCGTGTCTTGAATCGAGTACGGAGGACCATAAGAAGATTTTGATCCAACGGTCTCAACCTTCGAGAATGTCCGTAAGGACGTACAGTGGAGCCTGACCATGCAACACTCTGAACGTCAGCACAAGCATTTTAAAATTGATGCGAGAAGAAATTGGGAGCCAATGACGAGCTTTTGGAATGGGGGTAATGTGAGTAATCATCTGTTGGCACAGGTCAATATTCTAGCTGCACATCTTTGAACTTGTTGTAAGTGGGACAACTCTTTCTTGTTTTGACAAGAAAACAAACTGTTACTGTAGTCTAAACGGGACGATACAAAGGCGTGAATAATCAACTCAAGATCATTTATGGATACCATTGTTCTGAGTTTGGAAATTTCTCTCAAATGGTAAAAACAATTTCTAGTCAACTGCTTTGAGCGATGCTCAAGAGACATTCCTTTGTCAAAGAAAACACCAAGATTTCTAAGGCTTGGTTTAACAGGCAAGCTCAAATAACCTAAGTGCTGGTGAATCCCTGGAATAGCATTATCAGGGGCAATCACCAGCACTTCAGTTTTGTCTGAATTCAGCTGTAGGGCATTTGCACCGAGCCGCTGTTTGATGCGCTCGAGGCAAGTCAATAAGAAATTTAATCTTTGAACCTGAGAGGGCCTAAAGGAACAATACAGCTGAAGATCGTGCTCCAAGATTCTCCTCTGTTGTTTTCCTCTTGTCCAACAAGGAAATTATCAGTAGCTCAGGCTAGCATTAGCAGTGGCTCATGCTAATGGTAGCAGTAGATTGACCTAGCGTTGTTCTGTGGTTTGCATCTCCGTGACCAACATATGACGAGATAAGCAAGTTTTTTTAGAAAGACTAGTTTCATTTTGGACATTACAGCTTCACTAACTTACATAACTAAGCAGGTCAGAGATTGCTCAGACTTTTTGGTATGTTACCTTAGACACCCCGACCTGCCTGGATTCAACAACAATTAGGTAAATGTGATTTTAATAATCAAGCTCCATCATACATCAGTGATCTGATTGTTCCACACGTTCCTAACCGAGCACTTCACTCTCAGACTGCAGGTCTACTGGTGGTTCCCAGAATATCTAAAATTAGGATGTGAGGCAGATCGTTTAGTTATCAGGCTCCTCTCCTGTGGAACCAGCTCCCAGCTTTAGTCTGTGAGGCAGACACCTTGTCTACTTTTAAGACTAGGCTTAAAACATTTTTATTTGATAGGGCCTATGGTTAAAATCTGATGTTAGCCTAAATCTGGACAAGTGGGGAGTACAGGGAGGTGGAGTGTACAGTCGGTAAAGACGGCTCTCCCTTGCCCTGCCTCCAACATGCCTACATCTAAATAGGATAGATTATCCAGAGTTTTCTCTGTAGTTTTGCTGCTATAGGCTTAGACTGCTGGAGGATACACTGACCACTTTTCACACTCTACTGCTTTCTTCTACAATCTGCTCTTTAACTGTATTATTTTCTGCTATTTCAGCTGTTAACTTTATTTTCTCTCTAAGTGTTTTTCTCCCCAGAAGAAGCTACAATGATGTTCTGCTGAGCTGTGGTGGCCTCATGGAGGGGGCCATCGACTAGCACACTGCTGCTAACCACTAAAACATTCTCCCTCTCCTGATAATAATTTTTGCTTTCCTTGACGTTGAATGTGCTACTGCTAGTTTATCCGTTTAATTAGAGATCCACTAGGATAAACACAATAAAGTTTATCTCTCGTCAAATAGAATATTTACTAAGACATCACAATATAACTATAGACACATTACTTGTCTTTGTGTGTGTGTGTGTGTGTGTGTGTGTGTGTGTGTGTGTGTGTGTGTGTGTGTGTGTGTGTGTGTGTGTGTGTGTGTGTGTGTGTGTGTGTGTGTGTGTGTGTGTGTGTGTGTGTGTGTGTGTGTATCTGCTCTGTCTTCTCGATCCCCAGTGAGTCGTGGAGGATGGCTGCTTATACTGAGCCGGGATTCTCTGGAGGTCTCTTCCTGTTAAAAGGGAGTTTTCCTCTCCACTGTCGCTTTATGCTTGCTTAGTATGAGGATTGCTGTATAGTCACTGATATTAGTCAGTGACTTGATGCAATTTGCTGGGTTCCTTATATAGGAAACATTATTTCTGATTGGCTTATTGAACTGACCTGAATTGGAATGTTTATTATGTGAAGTGCCTTGAGACGACTCTTGTCGTGATTTGGCGCTTTATAAATTGAATTGAATTGAATTAAACTCTAGGACCCCTTTAAAATCAGTTAAAACCAACAATAAACAGCTACAAACATTTGGTCTACTCACCATCACTGTTGATGCATTGGACCTGAGGAATCTGGGTTCCAGGTCCACATTCCTTCTCATTATCTGGAACACACTCATCCAGCTTCACCACCAGCCATTCGTAGCAGCTGGGGTCTTCACATGGGATGGCCTCCACCAGGTGAGGGCAGTTCCCTGTGCCATCTGTGGGCTCGTTGGTAATCCTTCTCTTCCTCAGTTTAAAACCTGTGACAGAAACAACATGAAACTGAACAACTACAGTGCTGTATGGATATGATGGTTGATGATATGCATCTCAAACGTGTCGGGAGTTTGTCAAAAGTTCTCATTCAAACATTACAACAAACGGTAGAGCAGCACCAGCTTTTACGCTTGTCTAACGCATTAACATTGTTAGGGGCCCTTGAAGCATACCTGATGTCACGAGACGTGGGGTTCTAACATAATAAAGCTGCTTTCTTGTATCTTCTAGAGTTTTGGCAGATGTTTTAGGCAAGTTCCAGAGAGATTTTCCAGAAAATGTTGGCAGCAGTTATATTAGGAAAGTATAGGATCACTTTTCCTACTCTGCCATTTTGGACATAGAACCATAGCTTGTAGCAAAATAAGAGTGCAACTCGCTGAAAGCTGGTAAAATATAATTCCTGAATACTCTTCGAAGATTGTGGCTGTAGATGATTAGCAGCCCGAACTCTACGTGCAGCCCCGCCCCGTGTCGAGTCTACACGTTCTCCTGAGTTTGGAAAACTCCAAATCTCGCGAGAATTCATCTTGCAGCGCAAGATTAGCTGCAGATTACCAAAATGAAATATTTTTTCCTCTTTCATCTGAGCTTTTCTATTGCTATATATATATATATATATATATATATATATATATATATATATATATATTTTTTTTTTTTTTTGCTCAGTGTTTCCTGTGTGTTTGCTCTTGTATGTTTCGTGGATATTATATTCACTGTAAGGATTATAGTAAACCGTGCTTTTCTTGGATTTATTCAGATTGTGAACATTGGACATTCAGTGTAAAAACAATGGATTGTCTATATAGTTTAAGTGAATTATTTAGAAACCTAGGGCACTGTGGTTGACTGCGTGTACACTGTGAACTGAAAACATGACATATTACTGTTTGAGTCATTTTTCCAGTGTTTTGGTTAAGTTAGCATGTGCAGAGAAAGGAGTTTTGTATTGTGAAAGTGCTGTATGTAACAGTATGTGTGTCTTAGAGAAAGGAAACTTAACCATTGCGTTAACTGTGTTTGTAGGTGTGTATGAGTTTGAAAAAGTGTAAATACTATAAAACAAGTAACCTACCCTATAGAGTTGTCTTTTGAGGTGGTACAGGCTAATATGCAAGTTTATTTACAGCCTTTAACTCAAACAAACAGAAAAGGAACTTTAAATCATGCTTCAGAACACTAATGTTCTTCTAACATTTAAATATCTTATTCCAGATTCCCTAAAGCCATTAATCCAGAAGGATTGTGTTTCTTCTCCCCGTCAAAGATGAAAGATCCTATGGTCCAAGTCAAGGTCGACCCCCCCATCCATGGTCCTGGTCCAGTCTGATAAGAACACCCATCCCAGAGGCCCAGAGGCCACGTGGGACGCAGGCTTCGTTTCCTTTTTGTCATCCTTTGAAGAACCTTTATTTAATCAGACAGGTCGGTTGGACACGAACCATCCTAACTGAACACACAGACAGCTTATCTGCTGTGTGTGTGTGTGTGTGTGTGTGTGTGTGTGTGTGTGTGTGTGTGTGTGTGTGTGTGTGTGTGTGTGTGTGTGTGTGTGTGTGTGTGTTAGGAGGGCTTGGGTGCAGGAAATTTAATTCAGGCCTCCTTCACCACTTATCTGCGAGGCTCTTGTGATTTACATGACTGATAGGAATGCAGTCAGCAGCACGTTTATTAAAGAGGTTGTAGATGATCTGCTGTACTGCTAGAGCTGATAAAGCTGCTCACAGGGGAAGTAAAACATCTCTGAACCTGCTAGGATTACAGAACAACCACCTCTCTGTCATCACCATAGACTGTACATATAAGATAGCTAAACCCGTAGGTTTCTGAGGAACTGAACCTCAAACTCTGAGCCAATATATGAGCTATGAGCTAACAAAAGCTAACGGAGGTTGGTGGGTGCTTTTGGCCATAAAAGGGTGTAGGACTTTTAACGTAAGGCAGAGGCTGAGGCCTTTGCTGGGGTAGCCTGTTAGCACTAATGCTGACGGCACATCTACTATCTGTCAATTAAAAAGACATGCCCAGAAGTATTCATAATTTCAAAAAATGGATCAGTTACAAAAAATCACACCTCCTCAGAGTTGCTACGACCAAAATGGACCTAATAAACCTAAAATGTTTTGGAACCAGGCTGTAAACATGTTTTATTTCTGCTGTGAAGTTGATATTTTAACATGGGAGTCAATGGGAACTTTCTCCTTTCTGCAGCCGGCCCCTAGTGGATGAAGGCTGAACTGCAAAACTTCTGTGTTAGAATCACATCTGGTTGGTGGAGTTTTCCCCTGGTCGGGATTCAAGCAGCAGGGAGCTGGCTGCTAACAGCACTGACTCTACCCATCAGTAACTTCACAGGTTGGCCTAATCAGAAATCAGCATTACATAATCAATGCCTCAGTGAGTGCATGCTAATAAGGCTGAAGGTGATCCAACTTCAGTATGTACCTGAGTTATATTCATTGACTATATATATATATATATATATATATATATATATATATATATATATATATATATATATATATATATCAGTGGTGGGCAGTCAGGGCCAGCAAAGCCTTCTCTGCTGGCCTAAACATACTCAAAAGCGTAAATGTATTTTTTTTTCATTTGGTAATTATTTTTAAATAAAAAAATGTTTACTGGTCTATTTTCTTTATATCCTATTATACCCACTTGGCTGCGCTGCTTCCAGTGTTAAAATACCAAGGCTGGGTGTTATCCAATCAGATTTAAGCTAGCTTGTGTTTTCAGGCAGATTAAGTCTGCTCTAGGCCTTCAGAATCAATCGAGAAGCCCACTGTCCGCTGTAAGTGAACAGAGACGATCTAGTTGCGATAGCCAATCAGCTCACAAGTCAGCTTGGCCCGGGCCAGCTAGCTGGCCTCACGCAAAAGTTGACATGAACGCATCCTGTGATTGGATGAGCAGTAGTTAGAACTTTTCTAGCGGCACGAAGCAAAATATCAAAACCAAACACAGAGATTTGTATCTATAGGCAGCTATCGGTGTATTTTTGAACACATGATGGCTGAAAGAGGAGAAGAGACGGACTTGGTTGCAGATTAACTTGCCACACCACTTTCAAGACGGACCTTTCAAGAAAAAATGGATCTTGTGAGAACAGGTCGTCTGACCCCAACGCTAGCTGGCTTGTCCCAGCAGGAGAAAGGATTTGTTCGTCATTTTCAGGCAAGCAACTATGAACGGTACCCACGGCTAACAGCTTCAGAGAACCGCTGCAGGTTATTCTGCTGGGAATGCCTGTTGCTCGCATCAGATGGATTTGGTAGCATTAAAGTGCGTTAAAATGTACGCCAGAAACACGACCGGGCAGACACGTCTTTCAGCCTCCATGTCCGTAGAAAAGGATCCACTCATGGACATGAAGCGCACGGATAAACTGTGTGACAGAGCCATTGAGGTTTTCCTGAGGAAAGAAAGAAGGATGGATTTTATTTTCTAATGAGCAGGAGAGGAGGAGATCAATGCTGGACATTTATGTTGGTGAGTAGAAACATTTTATTAGTATTTTTTAAATGTTTTGTCATTTTATTTTGTTAATAATCAATAAATGGTAACGAAATAAAATGGCAAAATGAAATTATTCTGTGTTCTGTTTCTATGCAATTTATATTGTGAATGACGTGGTGTGTGCAGCTGCGCCAACATGTTCAATTGTTTCGCGGTACAATTTTCTCCAAAACAAATGCAAATAATGTGTTTGCTTTACTTATTTCTTTTATTGTCTCATCTCTTAAACTCGTCTTTCATTTCTGAGATTTGACGGTATCCGTGGTCAGCTTCCTACTCTCAACTGGGAATGCGAGTTTGATTTTAAAGACTCTGGAAATTGTGTCTTGACAAGCCACTGGTGTGTGTGTGTGTGTGTGTGTGTGTGTGTGTGTGTGTGTGTGTGTGTGTGTGTGTGTGTGTGTGTGTGTGTGTGTGTGTGTGTGTGTGTGTGTGTGTGAGGTTTCTCCAGCTGTGATGTCCTATTGATGGTATTTTAAGGTGTATTAAATTAGATTGGACTGAATAGGAAATCACTGAAGGCCCAGGGGTGGAACGCACCGCCCGCCACTGATATATATATATATATATATATATTACATAATATATATACATATATATTATAAATATATATTATATATATATATATATATTAGATATTATAGATATTATATATATTATAAATATATATATTTACATAATCAATGCCTCAGTGAGTGCATGCTAATAAGGCTGAAGGTGATCCATCTTCAGTATGTACCTGAGTTATATTCATTGACTATATATATATATATATATATATATATATATATATATATATATATATCTTCCCCTGGGACATATTTTCCGTAAATTTGACATCCATTTTCATTGTTACGCGGATGACACCCAGCTCTATGTATCCTCCAAACCCTCTTCTTCACTCCCTCCTTCCTCCCTCACCAATTGTTTGTCTGAAATCAAAGACTGGTTCACATGAAACTTTCTCAAACTTAACAGTGATAAAACAGAAATGTTACTTGTCAGCACTAAATCCTAACTATCCAAAATCCACAGCTTTACACTTCCTGGCGACAACTCCTTAGTTTCCCCCTCCCTTCTGGTCAAGGGTCTGGGTGTCATCCTCCACTCCTCACTATCCTTCCAGTCCCACATAAACAATATTACCCAGTCCGCCTACTTCCATCTACGTAGCATTAACCGCCTACGCCCCTCCCTCACTACTCACTCGGTCGCCATCCTTGTCCACAGCCTCATCACTTCCCGTATTGACTACTGCAACTCTCTTCTCTTCGGTCTTCCTTACAAATCCCTCCATAAACTCCATTTTCTCCAGAACTCGGCAGCCCGCATCATTACCAGAACTCCCTCCTTCCACCACATCACCCCTGTTCTTCAGCAGCTCCACTGGCTCCCAGTCACTTCCAGAATCCAATTCAAAATTCTGCTATATACATTCAAAGCCATC